ACATTTGAAGATATATAGTCCACTGGTAAAATTACAAAGAAAAACCCAAAATAATACTGTAATTGTGGTATGGAGTCCACCCATAACTCTAGTATGAAACCCAAAACACAAATCTATCAAAAACAGTAATAGCTATAGCAACCTGTTAAAAGATAGGTAATATAAAAACATATAAATTAAGACAACTAAAAGTTAAAATGTGGCAGCGATAAAGTCTAAGGAGCTTTTTGTTGTTTTTCCTTTGTTTCTATGCATTTATTTATGATCAAAGATAAGTTGTCATCTCTTTAAAATAACCTGTTGTATCTATAAGATGTTTTTCATAAGCCTCATGGTAACCACAATACAAAAACTGATATAGATTCACTAAAAATAAAGAGCAGCCAGGCACGGTGGCTCACGCCTGTAATCCTAGCACTTTGGGAGGCCAAGCTGGGTGGATCACAAGGTCAGGAGTTCGAGACAAGGCTCACCAACATGGTGAAACCCCGTCTCTACTAAAAATACAAAAATTAGCTTGGTGTGGTGGCATGAGCCTATAATCCCAGCTACTTGGGAGGCTGAGGCAGGAGACTCACTTGAACCTGGGAGGCGGAGGTTGCTGTGAACCAAGATTGCGCCACTGCACTCCAGCCTGAGTGACAGAGCAAGACTCCATCTCAAAAATTAATTAATTAATTAATTAAAAAGCAACAAATTAAAATATACTACCAGAGAGAATCCTCTAATCACAAAGAAAGGCAATAAGAAAGAAAGGAGTTACAAAACAACCAGAAAACAAACAACAAATTGGCGGTAGTAAGTCCTTATCTATAAGAACACTGAATGTAAACTGACTCAATTAAAAAGCACAGAGTGGCTGAATAGATAAAGAATCAAGATACAACTATATACTGCCAAGAAGAAACCCATTTCACCTATAGACTGAAAGTAAAAGGGTGGAAAAAGATATTCCATGCAGCTAGAAACCAAAAAAGAACAGGAGTAGCTATACTTATATCAGATAAAATAGACTACAAATCGGCCAGGCCCTGTGGCTCACGCCTGTAATCCTAGCACTTTGGGAGGCCGAGGCAGGTGGATCACAAGGTCAGGAGTTCAAGACCAGCGTGGCCAAGATGGTGAAACCCCGTCTCTACTAAAAGTACAAAAAAACAAAACAAAACAAAATTAGTTGGGCATGGTGGTGGGCGCCTGTAATCCCAGCTACTTGAGAAGCTGAGGGTGGGGGCTTCATTGAGCCGAGATCGTGCCACTGCACTCCAGCCTGGGCGAGAGAGCAAGATTCCATCTCGGAAAAAAAAATAGACTACAAATCAAAGACTATAAAAAGAGACAAAGAAAGTAATTACATAATGATTAAGGGGCCAAGTCAACAAATGGATATAAAAATTATAAATATCTATGTACCCAACACCAGAGATCCCAAGCATATAAACCAAACATCAGTAGATTAGAAGGGAGAGACAGACTGCAGTACAGTACTAGTAAGGAACATTAACACTCCACTCTCAGTATGGACAGATCATCTAAAACAAAACAAAACAAAAATCAGAGTTAAACTACACATTAGACCCGGTAGGTCTAACTGACAATTATAGAAATTTCACCCAACTTTGCAGAATATAAACTCCTTTAACTAGAACATAAACATTTTCCAGATTAGACCATATCTTAGACTACAAAACAAGTCTGAAAGAATTCAGAAAAGTAGAAATCACATCAAGTATCACTGTGACCACAATAAAATAAGACTAGAAATTAATAACAAAGCGAATCTCAGAAGCTTCACAAACACATGGAAATTAAACAACATGCTCTTGAACATATTGAGTCAATAAAAAAAATTATGAAGGAAATTTTAAAATTTCTTAAAACAAATTGATATGGAAATACAACATAGTAAAATCTGTGGAATACAGCATAAGTGTACTAAGAGGAACATTTATAGCAATACATACCTATATCAAAAACATAGAGAGATTTCAAATAACCTAATGGTGCACCTCAAGGAAAAAGAAAAGTAAGAATAAACCAAATCCAAAATTAGTGGAAGGAAAGAAATAAGAAAGATCAAAGCAGAAATAAATTGAGACTAAAAAGGTACAGAAGATCAATAAAATGAAAAATTATTTTTTAAAAGATAAACAAAATCAACAAACTAAAAGCTGGACTGAGAAAAGCAAGAGACCCAAATCAACAAACTAAAATCAACAAACTAAGTCAACAAACTGAAAAACAAACTAAAAGCTAGACTAAGAAAAACAAAAGACCTAAATAAATAACATCAGAAATGAAAAAGGAGACAAAACAACTGAGATCTCATAATATAATGAATCATTAGAAACTATTATGAATAACCATATACCAACAAGCTGGAAAAGCTAGAAGAAACGAATGAATTCTCAGACACATATAACTTATCAAGATTGAACCAGGAATAGAAAACTTTACTAAACCAATAATGAGTAATGAGATTGAAGGAGTGGTAAAAGTCTCCCATCAAAGAAAAGCCCAGGACCTGATGGCTTCACTGCTAAATTCTACCAAACATTTAAAGAACTAATACCAATGCTACTCTGACTCTCCAAACAAATTGAAGAGGGTATACATCTAAACTCAACCTATGAGTCCAGCATCACCCTGATACCAAAACAAGACACAATGAAAGAAGAAAAATACTGGCCAATATCACTGATTAACATAGGCAAAAATCCTCAACAAAATACTAGCAAACAGAATTCAGTATCACAATAAAAAATCATACACCATGATCAAATGAAATTTATCCCAGGGATGCAAGGATGGTTCAACATATACAAATGAATAAATGTAATACATCATATTAATAGAACTAAGAACAAAAACTAAATAATTATTTCAATAGATGCAAAAATATATATTTGGTAAAAATTCAACATCCTTTATAAAAATTCTTATCAAATTTGATATAGAAGGAACATAACTCAAAATAATAAAGACCATATGTCAAACCCACAGCTAACATTATACTGAATAGGGAAAAATAAAAGGCCTTTCCCCTAAGATCAGAAACAAGACAAGGATACTCACTTTCACAACTTTTATTCAAAATTGCACTGGAAGTCTTGGCCAGAGTAATTGGAAAGAGAAAGGAATGAAGGCAATGTAAGTTGAAAAGGAAAAAGTCAAATTAGCCTTGTTCACAGATGACATAATCCTATGTTTAGAAATACCTAAAGAACGCATGCTGCAACTGCTTGAACTGATAAATGAATTCAGTAAAATTACAGGATATAAAATCAACAATAAAATGAGTAGCACTTATATATGCCAACAGCAAACAATCTGAAAAAAGTAAAGTAAGGAATCTTATTTACAATAGCTGCAAAGAATTAAAATACCTAGGTATCAATTTCACCAAAAAAGTGAATGACAAATACAAAAAAAAGCTATACAACACTAATGGAATAAATTATAAAGCACATAAATACATGGAAAAATATTCCATGCTCATGGATTAAAATAATTAATATGGTTAAAATGATACTACTATCCAAGGCAATTTACAGATTCAATGCAACCCCTATCAAAATACCGATGACATTATTCACAGAAATAGAAAAAATAATCCTAAAATTTATATGGAACCACAAAAGGCCTAGAATACTTGTAGCAATCCCAAAAAAGAACAACAGTGGAAGCACCACACTACCTGACTTCAAAATTTATTGCAAAGCTGTAGTAACCAATTCAGCATGGTACTGGCATAAAAATAGACATATAGACAAATGGAACAGAATAGACAACCCAGATATAAATCTATGTACTTACAGTCAATTCATCTTGGACACAGCTACCAATAACATACAATGGGGAAAGGACAGTTTCTAACATAAATGATACTAGAAAAACTGGATAACTATATGAAGAAGAACAAAGCTAGACCCCTATCTCTCACCATATACAAAAATCTGATCAAAATGGATTAAAGAATTAAATCTGAAACCTCAAACTATGAAACTATTAGAAGAAAACATTGGAGAAATACTCCGTGACATTGGTCTGGGCAAAGATTTTTTGTAAGACCTCAAAAGCACAGACAACCAAAGAAAGAATAGACAAATGAGATTACATCAAGCTAAAAAGCTCCTGCACAGTAAAGGAAAAAATCAACAAGTGACGAGACAACCCACAGAACGGGAGAAAATATTTGCAGACTATCTATCCAACAAAGGATTAACAACCAGATTATGTAAGGAGCTCAACAACTCAATAGCAAAAAAATCGAATAAAGTGATTTTAAAATGGGCAGAAGATATGAATAGACATTTCCCAAAAGAAGATATACAAATGACAAACAAGTATCTAAAAAGATGCTCAACATCACTAACCATCAGAGAAATGCATATCAAAACTATAATGAAATATCAACTTATCCCAGTTAAAATGGCATTTATCAAAAAGGCAATAATGAATGCTGGCAAGGAAGTGGGGAAAGAGGAACCCTTGTACATTGTTAGTGGAAACGTAAATTAGTACAGCCATTATGGAGAACAGTATGAAGGTTCCTCAAAAAACTAAAAATAGAATTGCCATATGATCCAGTAATTCCACTACTGTATATATAGTCAAAAGAAAAGAAACCAATATATTGGAAAGACACCTGCACTCCCACGGTTACTGCAGCACTACTCTAAGTAGCTAAAATACAGAATCAACCTAAGTGCCATCAATGGACAAAAGGATAAAGAAAATGTTGTACATATACACCAAGAAGTATTATTCAGCCATAAAAAAACATTGCATGTTGTCAGTCATATGTGGAAGCTAAGAGTGAATCCCATGAAGATAGAGAATAAATTGGTGGTTATAGAGGCCAGGAAAGGTAAGGGAGAGGGAGGAATGAAGAGAAGTTGATAACTGGTGTATTAGTCCATTCTCATGCTGCTAACAAAGACATACCTGAGACTGGGTAATTTATAAAAGAAAGAAGTTTAATTGACTCACAGTTCAGCTTGGCTGGCGAGGCTGCAGGAAACTTACAATCATGGTAGAAGGGGAAGCAAACACATCTTTCTCCACATGGTGGCAGGACAGAGAGGAACTGAACAAAAGGGGTAAAGTTCATTATAAAACCATCAGATATCATGAGAACTCAGTGTCATAAGAAGAGCATGAGGGTAATTGTCTTCGTGATTCAATTACCTCCCACTGGGTCCCTCCCATGACCCATGAAGATTATGGGAGCTATAATTCAAGATGAGATTTGGGTGGGGACACAGTCGAACCATATCATTCTGCCCCTGGCCCCTCTTAAATCTCAGGATTTCACATTTGAAAACACAATCATGCCCTTCCAACAGCCCCCCAAAGTCTTAACTCATTCCAGCATTAACTCAAAATTCCAAGTCCAAAGTCTCATCTGAGACAAGTCCCTTCCACCTAAGAGCCTGTAAAATCAAAAGCAAGTTAGTTACTTCCTAGATACAACGGGGGCATAGGCATTAGGAAAATACACCCATTCCAAATTGGAGAAACTGATCAAAACAAAGGAGCTACAGGCCCCATGCAAGTCTGAAATCCAATAGGGTAGTTATCAAACTTTAAAGTTCCAAAATTATCTCTTTTGACTCTGTCTCACATCCAGTTCATGCTGATGCAAGAGGTGGTCTCCCACAGATTTGGCAGCTCTGTCCCTGTAGCTGTGCAGAGTACAGCCCCTCTCCTGGCTGCTTTCATGGCTGGCATTGTCTACAGCTTTTCCAGGTACACTGTTGGTGGAGCTACCATTCTGGGGTCTGGAGGATGGTAGCTGTCTTCTCACAGCTCCACCAGGCAATGCTCCAGTGGGAACTCTGTGTGGGGAGTCCCCACTGGAGCATTTATTGTTTTAGCTTCCCATATTTCCCTTCCATACTATCCTAGCAGAGGTTCTCCATGAAGGCTCCACCCCTTCAGCAAACTTGTGCTGTACATCCAGGCATTTTCATACATCCTCTGAAATCTAGGTGGAGGTTCCCAAACCTCAATTCTTGACTTCTGTGCACTCACACGCCCAACACCACATGTGAGCAGCCAAGGCTAGGGACTTGCACCCTCTGAAGCAAAGGCCTGAGATGTACATTGGCCCACTTTAGCTACAGCTGGAGCTGAAGCAGTTGGGATTCAGGGCACCATGTCCTGGGGCGGCATAGAGCAGGGGGGACTTCGGCCCAGCTCAAGAAACCATTTTTCCCTCCTAGCCTCCAGGCCTGTGATGGGAGGAGCTGCGTGAGGGTCTCTGATATGCCCCGGAGACATTTTCCTCATTGTCCTGGTGATTAAAATTTGGTTCCTCATTACTTATGCAAATTTCTGCAGCCAGCTTGAATTTCTCCTTAGAAAATGGGTTTTTCTTTTGTATTGCATCCTCAGGCTGCAAATTTTACAAATGTTAGTGCTCTGCTTCCCTTTTAAACATACGTTCCAATTCCAAACCATATCTTTGTGACTACACAAAAATGAACGCTTTTAACAGCAAACAAGTCACTTCTTGAACACTTTGTTGCTTAGAAATTTCTTCTGCCAGATACCCTAAATCATCTCTCTCAAGTTCAAAGTTCCACAGATCTCTAGGGCAGGGTAATATACCACCAGTTTCTTTGCATAGCAAGAGTGACCTTTACTCCAGTACCCAACAAGTTCCTAATCTCCATCTGAGACCACCTCAGCCTGGACTTCATTGTCCATATCACTATCAGCATTTTGGTCAAAGCCATTTAACAAGTTCCTAGGAAGTTCCAAACTTTTCACATCTTCCTGCCTTCTGAGCCCTCCAATTCTCTAGGAAGTTCCAACATTTCCCACATTTTCCTGTCTTCCTCTGAGCCATCCAAACTGTTTCAAACTATGCTGGTTACCAAGTTCCAAAGTTGCTTCCACATTTTTTGGGTGTCTTTACAGCAGCACCCCACTACCTGGTACCAGTTTACTATATTAGTGCATTCTCATGCTGGCTAATAAAGACATATCCAAGACTGGGTAATCTATAAGGGGAAAGAGGTTGAATTGATTCAGTTCCACATGGCTGGGAAGGCCTCAGGAAACTTACAGTCATGGCAGAAGGGAAAGCAAATACGTCCTTCTGCACATGGCAGCAGGTGAGAGGTATCAAAGCAAAAGGGGGAAAAGCCCCTTATAAAGCCGCCAGATCTCATGAAAACTCACTATCATGAGAACAGCACGAAGGTATCTGACTCTCTGATTCAATTACTTCAGTTATATAACACATGAGGATTATGGGAACCACATTCAAGATGAGATTTTGGTGGGGACACAGCCAAACCATACCAACTGAGTACAAATATACAATTTGATAGAATAAATAAGACCTAGTGTTTGATGGATCAGTAGGGTAACTATAGTTTACAATAAGGTATTGCACAAATTCTTGTCTTCTAGCTATTTGTCATTCTAACACTATTGTAAACTATAGAATGGTTTTAGCATAAAGAAAAGACAAATATTTAAGGTGATATATATCTCAAGTATACTGATTTTATCACTGTAATTTATATGAATGTATTAAATTATTATATGTACTCCAAAACTATGTACATCTATTCAGTTAAAAAAAGCAAAAGGACAAAAAAAGATATATCATGCAGTCACTAACAAAAAGAACCCTGAAATGGATATGTCAATATTGTTCAAAGTAGGCTTCAGAGCAAAGAAAATTACCAGAAGAAGAAGAAAATCATATAATAATATAAGGGGCATTTCATCAAGAAAATACAATAATTCTGAATGTATATGCATCAAACAGTATTTGCAAATACATGAAGCCAAAACTAATAGAACTGAGGAAAAATAGACAAATTCACAATATATTTGGAGACTTCAACACTTCTCTCTTAATAATAAATAAAAGTAGACAGGAAAATAGCAAGGATATAGATGAAGTGAGCATCACCATCAACCAACTGAAATGCTATAGAGCCTCACCTCCCCAAACAGCACAATATACATTCTTTTAAACCGCACACGGAACATTCATGAGCACAGACCATATTCTGAATCAGAAAACTTAAGTTTATAAGAATTGAAAGCATGCAAAGTATGATCTGACAATAATGAAATCAACATAGAGAAATGCTAGGTTCTGAGGATGTGAAAAGATAGTCTCTATTCCCAAGAAACATGGAGTCTAACTGGAGACACATTTAATCATTAAATTCTGTACTACATGCCACATGCTGTACACAAAATACAACACAACATGGAAAGTGCTCTGATACAACCGTAAATTTCTCTGATTGCACTGGGAGTGTCCAGGCAGGTTGCACAGAGGAAGTAATATCTAATCTAGACTTTCAGTTAAAAAAATGATGCTTTTATTTAAAATGAGATACCAATGGAATTGTGAAGATGTTTTGATTTTTAAGTTGGAATTACATATAAACACAGAAAACACACACAGTAATTTCAAATATAGACTAACTTCCAAATCTCTTCAAAGGTAGTTGTCATAAAAGGGAATAATAACTGAAAACAAGAGATGACTTTGAAAGTCCTGGTAAATGTTTTGGCAAAAAAGCAGCTTGGAAGGCAGGCCTCCCAGTGAGAAAGAAAGAACGAATTTATTCATTCAGTATCAAAATCATAAATTGTGTATTCAAAAAAAACGAAAGGTGAAGAAATGCAAGTAATAATAAAGGTAGCTACCAACATCTCATTGTTTTTGCATTTAATACTAGAAAGATGTGTATCATAATTGGAGTTGACCTAAGAGAGGTGGCATAAACTGCTTAAATTTAGTACAAAAATCAAGCACATAATGAAATTAATTGGGTACCTCTAATAATATGCTTAATGGCTATTCTGCTTCATGGTAATTAGCCAGAAATATTAGCCATATGTATGAAGATTTATAACATTTCTTTTAGCAAATATAAGTATTTGTAAATCCAGTTAATAAAAGGAAAGGGGAGAGTAACAGAGCAGAAAGTTTACTTATATCCCTCCTAAAAACTCCCTATCAATTCAAAGCAGGTCTTTCAATTCTTTATCAGTAAGTATCCATAGGCCTGGACTTCCAGGATCATCATCACTAGCACCACCAATTGTTTTTATTAGCAGTTACAATCTAATGAACACTCTATTAGTCTGTGTGATGGTTAACACTGAGTGTCAACTTGATGGGATTGAGGGGTACAAAGTATTAATCCTGGGTGTGTCTGTCAGGGTGTTGCCAAAGGAGATTAACATTTGAGTCAGTGGGCTGGAAAAGGCAGATCCACCATTAATCTGAGTGGGCACCATCTAATCAAATGTCAGTGCAGCCAGGATATAAAGCAGGCTAAAATACAGGAAAAGGCCTCAGCCTACCTACATCTTTTTTCCCATGCTGGATGCTTCCTGCCCTTGGACGTTGGACTCGAAGTTCTTCAGCTTTGGGATTCAGACTGGTTTCCTTGCTCCTTAGCTTTCAGGCAGACTATTGTGGGACCTTGTATCGTGTGAGTTAATACTATTTGGTAAACTCATATATATATATATATATATCCTATTAGTTCTGACCCTCTAGAGAACCCTGACTAATACAGTCTTCATGGGATGACATAACAAAATACCAAAGACTGGGTAGCTTAAATGAGAGGATTTATTTTGTCACTGTTCTGCAGGCTGGAAGTCTGAGGTCAAGGTGCCAGAGTTGGTTTCTGGTGAGGCCTCCCTTCCTGGCTTGCAGATGGCTGCCTTCTTAGTGTGCTCTCTCAGTCCTTCCTGTGGGCTCACATGTATGTAGAAGGGGGAAGAGAGCAAGAGAGAGAGAGAGAGAACTCTATCTTTCCTCTTTTTATAAGGACAGCAGTCCTATCAGATTAGGCTCCATCCTTATAACCTCAATCAATCTTACTGCCTCCTTAAAGGCCCTACCTCCATATATAGTCAGATTGGGGGTTAAGGCTTCAACATATGAATTGGGTGGGGTAGCACACAATTCAGTCCATAATAAACATCTACCACATACCAGATATTATGTCAACTTTAGTATCTCAATGTGCTCCTACATCAACCTTACTAGATACTAACTAATTTACTTTGAAAATCAGTTAACAGTCATAC